TCGTGTGCTGGAGCGCTGTGTGCTGGGACGTAGTGTGGCGCGAGCGTCCGAGTGCGAGCTGCCAGTTGGTGTGGGGCTGTCTATCTTTTTTTTATTACAGTATGCGCGTCGCGAAATAATCCCGACTCTTCTTGTTGACATTCGTCATCTCGCCGCTGCGCCTACGGCGACCTTGTATCTATGGCTTCCCTCAGTGCTCATCTTGTTGATGGGTGTCTCCAGTCTTTACGATATGTCATTCCCATCGCTCGTTGCGGTTTGATGGGACTTCCTGATGGTATGAGGATCTGCGCGACGCGTGTTGCACATGGATATCTATACGTCGTTGTGCCGTGTTGGTGGGTCAGTCAGGCGCGCGATCCTACGGAGTAAATCGTTGGGTCGGATCTCGGTGATTGGTGTCATTGGCTACGGTACATTGCCTGAATCTGCGTCGCTTGCTCTCTGACCCATTGGGACCTGCCCTACCGGCATCTTCCCATCCTTTGGGGTTCGCTCATGGTTATGGCTGCTTGCGAACAGCGTATTCCACGACAAAAACGATAGAAAAGTGCATTGTGCAGCAAAAGATGTGGATTGTGGCGTCTCCAGTTGAGACTGTGGCCTTTTCGAACATACCGTTGGTACTTGTGAGTCAAACTGGTCGCTGCACATGTCAATATTCCGCTAATCTACGACAGCTTTGCTGGCACTTCTTGCTATAGTCAATAAGATTGAGTCCTGAAGTGCACGCTGATACCTGTGCACCCACCGAAGCCTTGTGGAACAGACTGTTGGGCCCCATGGTCTGCTTCTGTGTCGCCTACGGCGAAGTACCGCCGTGTGCCGGACGTACATAAGATAGCCTCTTCATTCCAGCAACCTCCATTGGGAACATTCGATCTCAAATTCATCAACAGACGATATTGATAACGCAAACGATTTCATTAGCTCGACCGTTTGAAAGGAGAGTGGTCGTCAACACAAGAGCTCCATTAGCTCGAGATTTTCAAACACCGTTTCTCTAACCCTCGATCCCGCTGGTCGTCAACAGTGAGATACAGCTCTGCTGTTCGACGTTCCTAGTCATTGTCTCATATGTTGGATACACCATGTTGCACTTCCGTGGTACTGCGATCCGCCTCCTCCTCTTTGGCAAACGCGCTCCATCTACGAGCGTTTTGTGGAAGCTGTGCGGTCGAAGACTGTTCCGGGAGTGGCGACATGGGAGGGCCGTGTTGGATGACGAGATGAGGTTGATGGATCAAGATGAGGCGTTTGTTGGAGGAGGGGCTGCATGCGAGGCGCTTGATGTCGGCGATACGGATGACGACGTCTGGTGATAACGTGCCTGATGGGCTAATGTGAGCTCCTGAATCCCCTCTACGAGCGCTTCTGTAGAGTTTTCGTCTTCCAATGTGCGACGCACTACTGTTGATACTCTTGCCCGAGTGTGCTGCAGTCGGCGGCGATGTCGACACGCGAACCTGCCTCGTTGCCTTGCTGCCAAGTTTGCTTTCTTGTGCGCTCCGTCTTCCATATTTGCGATTGTTAAGCAAACTTTAAAAGACTTTCTCTCGAGTCTTCTGATGGCTTGGACAACTCTCTTAATCATGGCGCGATCGTTTCCACTGACTTCGTCTTCCAAGCTTGCTGAAGAATACTGAATGTGGTGTTTGACAGTGTATATGACCGATGGGTGTTCGCAAAAGATCTGCATAGTCCGCAGTTGGACATCAGGCGGACATCGTTTCTTGATCGTGCTGGAGGCTAGACCGAGAGCGTGTAATAAAGCAAGTAGCTCGGCTCTCTCGCGTGTCTTAACGTTTTCGGTCGGGGAGTTTGCGCGCGTAATGCCGTATCTACGCTCTTCGGTAGGCAGTAGTCCTGTTATCAAGGCGCCCGTTTTTGCGCATCTGGCTTGCTGTCAGATGCAGATACCAACGCCCTGCGCTTTTGCGTGGTCCACGGCAGTATGTAGCAGCAACTCCAACTTGACCTTTTTCTGGGAATACGGAGTTCATCGTGTTGGGCTGATATCGGTGGATCCTGGTTAAATTGTTTCGTTGTGTGTGGAGTGCAGTGCGAAATTGAGCGAGACGACTTTTGCTCGGGCAAACAACACTGGACTAGCGAGACGACTGTACCGCGGTTCATATTTGCCTTATCCGCTCTCTCCGAACGAAGTGATCATCGTCATTGAACACATGCTGATTCGGCCACGTCGATTGGAAGAGTCTAACCAAAGATCGTGTGAAGCAAGAGATGTGCCTCAATCACCTTTCTTTCTCGACTCTTCATCATCCACCTTCTTCTCTCGTATCAGTCTTCTTAACAAAGGGATTCGGCGTGTTGATTGTGCCATTTCCATTGTCAGCCGCTCTATCGTGCTGAATCTCCTCCACACAACCAGCACCACCGGAGTAAGACCTATCGTAGACACAAAATATAAGTAGACCCAGTAGGATACCTTCGCGCCGCCATCGTCGGGAGAAAAGTCCCAAAATGTAGTACTGAAGATGGTTGCGACAAAGGTTCTGGAAAGGAAGATGAGAGTAATCGCCGTGATGAGTCGCATATCGGCGCCGTACCGGTGGTTAAGCTGGTTGTCTCTCTGCTGAAGATTTGCTTGAATCTGTAACCATAAGCATAGGCTTTCAACAGATGCCGCGTGAGACTTGCGTACCATTCATGCCATAGACTGGACGAGTGTATTGTCTCGTTTTGTTATGAAGCCAATATTTTCTAAGCACGCTCGTAAGTACATCCTTTGTTCATGTAGTTCGGCGGAGACACTAGTGCGATATCCACTAGGTAGGGTTTGGAGCTGAGCCTTTAAGCAGTCGAGTGCCTCGACACAAGAGGAGCAGTAGTATTGAGTGTTTGCTATACGAGCCGACAGTACGTTGAGTCGTTGAGGTATTCGTGTGAAATTTGCCGTTTGATCGAATGTAACCTCGTGATTTTCACCGTCAAAGCCCGTGGTTTCTTCTAGCTGCGAGCACTCCTCGACGACTTCGTTTTGCAGTTCCCGGATCTTATGTACGCCCGTAGATAGTAGAATGGTTGGTAATAGAAGTGGATTTGACCCAAAGCTCTGAGCGTGTTGGAGACGTCTAATGACACGAGCAACGTCGTCTTCATCCACGAGGCACAATCCGAATGTCCGTCGCATTGGGTTATTGTGCATGATCGTAGTTTTGCTGCCGGCGACATCATGCACAAACCCTGGAATTTTCGGTAAGCATAGATAAGCTACGAGCGAGACATTCGATCGGGAAGTTCGACACGTTGCGACTGGAAACCCGTCAGAACCAACTCACCTTTACAATGTTTATCATTCAGCAGAGGAGAGAAGGCCGTCGATATGTCTGGTCCACCTCCCAATGAAGGAACGTAGCTGTACGGGAGTTGCCAGTGTGCGCGCAGAGCTTGAATGGCATCCAGTGAATACGGGACCTCGCTTGGCCCAAAATCAACGTATGGACTGACAGTCATTAGGCTTCTAGTGGTTCAGTAAAACCCACAACATGGAAGTTTGTTTAGCTAACAGTTCCAGAGACCATTTCGTACCCGGAGTTGATCCAGTCGTCTCCGCACACAGCGCTGGTATAATACTGTCGCGCACCGGCGTTTCGCTGAATTTGACGCCTTCCTATGTACCCTCAGCTTCGTCAAAATAGTTCCTCTGTACATGCACTTACGCTGGTTTCACATATCGAGACGGCAACATGGTAGTCCTGCGGATTCAACTTTTCTGGGTGTCTCTTCCAGTGCTCAAACCGCCACGGGAGATGATCTACTGCCGCCATCGCAGTATAGTCAGCCGATGCGATGATGTATGTGGGCTGGGGACGCCTCGACCAACGGGCGGAAAGAGTGTGTTAAGTATGTGAGGTTAGCATGGATCAGGCTGAAGATACAAGCCCTCGGCTTCTGCGTAATATATGCGAGTGCAAGCCATCGCAGGGCGATCGGTAAAGTTTCGACGAATAAGAAGGCAGCCAACCCAGCTTCGCGTAGCGAGCACACAAGGCTGTGCGAGGCTATGATGGACACCAGTATTGGCCAGGATTGTGTCGCATATATACATTCAACTCTTGAAAAGTAAGCAGTTGCTGCAACAAGGTATACATCTACATTGATGGTATTTGGGATAATGCGACACGAATGCTGGCGCCCCTTGGTACGGGTCCAGCTATTGATTACATGAACCATGGAAGCCATGTGAATTGGAAGCCACCTATCGGCAACGCAAGATGTTGCAAAGAGCGAGGGATACGAGTTCTGCTCACTATTAATGGAATGTGGAACATGGCTGCGAAAGAGTGAGATGATTCCCGTGGCGCGCCGTGACTCCCCAAGGCTGACTGCGGCTAAAGGGTGGCAGTCGAAATGCAGTCATTAATATCATTCATGGGGCCGAACGACGCCAAGTGTCATCATAGCCATGCATGAGAGACCAGGCTAGATTGTCTGATCGAAGGATGGCTTTTCAATATCTTCTGATCGTCTTCCGAGACGCGTCGCGGTCGCGAAACCTGGCAGCGTAAGAACGAGAGAACGTCATTGCTACTTCCCTTGCACTCGCGGTATCATGTCGTGGAAGAGGGTTATGTCACGGTAGAAGATGGGTCAGGTCTACCAGAGAGGCTCGGTAACAGGGGTGATACGGTTTTGATTGCCATAGCTTGGAGCGCACCTGAACCTTGGAAGGCGAGCGCGTGCGTGCCTACGTCATTGATTACTAAGACGTCAAAAGCATCTGCCCGCGCAATGTCTCGGGACACGGCCAGTCACAAATACATCACACAACGTCAATCGCGAACTCTTGTCACGCAGCGGTGGGAAGAGGTAAGAAGGGACACATGTCACGTTTTCCTCGCTAGGAGTACGTTTGGGATAAGCCGCTGGGGAACACACTCAGGATCGGTGTGCTCCTAATTCATCATCCTCATCCACTTTCCATGCAGCATGATCGACTCCATGGCAGCCACGATCTTTCCGCGACATCTTTCTCTTCAGCTCTCGTCTGCGACAACAGGCCGATCCCGCACACTCTGGAACCACTTATCCAAGTCCTCGAAATGCTTCTCCAGCTTGCTATCAATGCTCTCCGCGACCGGCGATGGCGCTGCGATCGAGTCTGAAGTACCGGAACCCGATGATAGAGTCCGAACGTTCGACGCGTCCTGCGCACGCTCTAGATCCTCTTCTGCCTCATCCACTAGTCGATCGATCTCCTCCGGCAACAAGCCCTCGCGATCGAGTATGTCCTTGATCTTCTCCGCTACTGCAATCTGGAGCCTGGCCGTGGACTGCCGCTGTTTAAGCGCGACAGCGAAGTTCTCCAGAGACTCCGTAAGAGCGTTGTTATTGTTCTTGATGCGGTTGCCGCAGTTCCTCTTCGCGCCCTTGACTTTAGGCGGCGCAGGCATCGTCTTGGCCTGCTTGGTAATGAGCTCGACGTAATCGATGAGGATCTCATAGTGATCCAAGTAGGCTTGATAGTATCTTAGCCGCATCTCATTGAATTCTTGGTGAACCATGCGGAAATCCGCCGCTTCTTCATACTTGTGTGCCAGTTCGAGCGAAAGGCTTGCCAAGTCCTTGATTTGATCGATGTATTTGTCGTACATCTTTACCACCTCTTCCAGATAGGTTGTGGCGGTGAGCTTGATGAGGAGCATGAAGATGATGGGGACGAGGAACTGGCGACCCAGGATCAAAGATACGGGCTGGATGAATGCGATATGAACTACTGTGTAGAAGATAAGTAGAACAGCCGTGCCTGGTGAAAACTGGTGTCGAGCACGTGGCGGCTCGTCGACGGATTTACGCAAGATCCGGTTGAGCTCGTCCATGTCGACAGTGCTGGGTCCCTGGCGCGTTTCATCAGATTCCGCTTCAGAAGGGAGCTTGTCCTTGTCGATGTTGGGCTCCATGGTCGCCATGTTCGGAGTTGGACGTGGGGTAGTGACAGGCTCAGCGCCGGTTTCCATCGCTGCTTTGCTTGGGATGGCTCGTGTTCTGGTAGTCTTGTCCAGGAAGGTTCTGGTCACGACGAAAGAGCTTCTCATATAGACGATTGGGTGTGGTGGATTGTACTACGTCATTTGCTATTTGCTGTGGACGTTTCCACCTAGCAATCAGGCAACCACATTACCTTACCCCTCGTAGTTTGAACTTGCGGGAAAGATAATGTCATCGCATTTCGAAAAATTGCTACTGGGCGTTCACTGACAAAAGTGTATCGAGGGAAGTCTCTTCTTGCGGATACGCGACTTCACGGAGGGCAGGTGTTGAGACAAGTGAAGTGTACGAAACGCTCGCACACATGTAACATTTTACCGCTCTCCTACCTAGCTACGTATGCACCACATCTACTCTACTCCTCTCCTTTTACCTATTCCTGCTCCTCAGCCCTATCCACCTTCCTCAAACAATTCCTAACCCTCCAATCCCCCTCACAATACCTCTCCAGCCTCTCCCTATGCCCATTCAACCTCACTTCCAACCCAGCATCGACCCTAGCAGGAGCAGCAGGGTTCTTCGCCAGATCTTCCAGATGCATCAAATACCCATCTACCACCGCCGCTTTCTCCAGATCATTTTCTGCCTCGCGAATAGAGCCATTCACCCCATCATCTTTCAACGCGCGCAAGGTTTTCGAGTAGAAGATTTTCTCGATACTCTCCGCTATGTTCAGTCGCATTTGTGTTCTTGATCGCATCATGTAGACCTTATCGAACGGGATACTTAGTGCTGGAGAGTCGGGGGTCTTGGTGTGGGTTCTGGATAGATGTTCTAGGAAACTGATGGTGCTGCTTTGGTGCTTGTGGAGGGATGTGTAATGCCTGAGACGGGCTTCGTTGATGCGATGTCGATGCCTGCTATCTGCTTCTTCTCTTCCTTGGATGCACCCAGAGAGCTCTTCTGATAACGCCTTCTTCTCGTCTTGTAATCCCTTTACCGTATCCGCATTTTCCCTTAGAGTTCTCTTCTGTGCGTCGATGCTTTTTTGCAGGTACTCAATTGTGATGGCGAGGACACAGATGAACATGTTTGGCAGAAAGAATGCAGGAGCCAACTCAGCCAAGATGAAGACATCGCTCGTGAAAAGGCCGGCGCGGAAGTGGAGCAAGCCGTAGATGGTGGGTGCCCATATTGTGAACTGCACAAACATGCTTTGAAGATACTCAAGCGTAATGTAGCCAGCGAACCGGGACTTTGGAGGCACTTCCGTGGTGGTTGGGACGTCGGTATCCGTGGCGGAGGACTCGTGTCTTGTCGTTATATCATCACCGTTCGGCTGAGTCTGATCATCCGGATCCATAGTTGCAGTTGTAGACATCAAGAAGAACACCAAATGAGACCGTTCCGTATGATGAGTTACGAACAGTCGCGGAACGACGGAGACAATATACTAACGCAGTGTTTGTGTAGAAGTAACGCACAAAGCGCTCCCCGGTTTGCGCCTCGCAATCCCGCAGTCTATTATTTCGAGAGCCAAACAAAGCCTAGAAGGTTCGCGAAACCCGGTCGCCAAAACTTGCGTACAATTCATCATCCTCTACGACACGACTATTCAACAACCTCATCAAACCCCAGCCCATCCAAATTACCCAAAAACTCCATATTCCCCTCCCCAGCCATAAGCGCATCAACATCAATACCGCCACTAGTAAGATACCTCGCACTAACCCCCGTATTAATCCTCTGACTAAGCAAATGCTTCAATTCCGCTCTAAGAGCCTGCATCTCCCCCTTCGTCATCTCACTCGCCTCCTTCTCCTTCTTCTTACGTCCACTACCCCGACCCCGCTTACCAGGCGCTTCCTTCTCAAACTCCTCGCTGTCGTAGTCTACGCCTAGGTCTTCGGCTGCGCGGCGTAGTACGTCATCTTCGCTGTGTTTCTTTTCCTTCGCGATGACGGTGTCGGCGAGGCGTTTGGAGATGGTGGCGCGGGGCTTTAGGCGGGAGACGATGCGGCGGTCGATGTCTAGAGTGCGGATGAAGAAGGCGGTTTTCTTTGATTTGGGGGCGTCGCTGGCGCGGGCGTGCACTTTGGCGACGAGGCGGCGGACGCCGCCGACTTCTTCGGGGGCGCAGATGAGGATGCTGGCTCCGGATGCGTCGGCTCGAGCGGTACGACCGGAGCGGTGGACGTAGGTGTCGGCGGCGCGGGGGAGATGGTAGTGGATGACGAGGTCTATCTTGGGTATGTCGAGACCTCTGGCGGCGACGTCTGTGGCTACTAGGATTGATCCTGGTCGTTCTTTGAATCGTTCGATGGAGCGTAAGCGGGCTTTCTGGGGCATGTTGGAGTGTAGGGGTAGAGCGGGGAGAGCCAGATTCGTCAGGAATGGCGTTATGCGGCGTACTGCCGAGATGGAGTTGGTGAAGACTAGAGCGCGCTTCTTGGTGTAGAACATGAGTAGCGAGTAGAGATAGAGATCCTTCTCGGGTCCGGCGCATTCAATGAGACCTTCCTGCAGTCTACTGGCCATCTGCGAAGTAGGGTTGGCATCGATGAACATTGGCTTCTCCTCGCGGAACTTAAGTTTCTTGAGTAGATACTCCATCGACTGTTGCTGGTTCATGAGATCGCCACCTCCATACTTCTGCTTCCCAGCAAGCTTGTGCTGCAGTTCCTTTCCGAAAGTGGCAGAGAACACAAGAGTTTGGCGCTGAGATTCAGGTGCTTCCTCAATGTCGTCTTTCTCGTTAGGCTCATCATCGGGCTCTAAGACTTTGAGAATCTCTCCCATTTCCTTGAAGTGTCCTTGGCTCAACAGCCGATCAGCCTCGTCTACAACCAGGAACTTGATTTGCTTGAACTTGGGTAGCACTCCTGAACCGCTGCTCATAACTTCCCACAGTCGTCCTGGTGTTCCGACAACAATGTCAGCCTTTTCCAGTTGCCTGCGCTGCTTTTGTACGGACAGACCACCTGTGATAGATGCGATGTACGGGGAATCGAAGTCGCCCTTTGCGCAAAGGGCGATCAAATGATCATTGATTTGATGCGCAAGTTCACGCGTTGGCGCAATGATCAGCGCGATGGGCGCCTTGTCTTCGGGTTCTTTGGGCGTCGAGCGAGCAGCAAGGTACGTCTCGACAATCGGGATACCAAAAGCGAGTGTCTTTCCTGAACCTGTCGAAGCCTTGCCGATAACATCCCGGCCAGACATGATCTCGGGTATAGTAGACGCTTGGATACTGGTAGGTTTCGAGAACTTGAGCTTCGCCAACGCACCCAGCATCTCTTCGGAGAGGTCGAGCTTAGCCCATGCGCGCACATCTGTCTCGTCGTCGTCATCGGCGTGGTTCGCCAATATATCCCAAGCGCCAGGTCCGAACGTCTCGCCGTCTTCGCGGTCCTCGATATCGGAGGGTTCGTCGTCCTCGGCATCGTCCTCCTCTTCGACCTCATCTGGCGTCGGCAGCTCTGCCTTGGCCTTTTCCTCTGCCTCCCTCTTAAGCTTCGCTTCCTTCGCCCTCTTCTTCTTCTCAGTCTTTGTCATTTTCTTTACCTCCGGCTCGCCGTTGGTAGCACTTGCGTCAGCTGTATCCTTAGCATCTGCACCCGCAGTTTGCTTCAAAATTCCCGCCGGCGCATCGTCCTCGTCGCTAAAGCCCTCCCACGCGACCTCCTCATCTGCTTCCTGCAGTTTCTTTCCTACGCTCTCGTCCTGTCCAACCACCTTCTCCTCGTCAAAAGTAATCTGCTCCAAGCGTTTTTGCTCGTCCTCCTCCCGTTGCCACGCTTCCTCGACATCCTGTGCCACCTCATCCTCCGTCTTTGTAGTCTCGAACGTAAGATTGCCAGTAACCGGATCTTTGACAATCTCAACATCTTCAATCTCTTCTAGTCCGTAGAAACCCTCTGTATCCTCCAACCGATCGGGCATCTCCACGGTCTTCCATCCCAGCTCGTTGAGTTGGACTCGGCGCTTGGGTCTCGTAGACGGAGGAAGAGGTTTCGGGAAGTCGTCGAGTTTTTGACGTTTGGGCTTGTGACCCTTATGCGACGCTTGTTTCGGGGCGGGATTGGGGCGCTTCATGGTGGGCTGTGGGTGCGATTGAGGTTTGTCGTGGTTTGGATGCGCGCGCCGTGAACTTTTTGGAAAACTTGTCGGCCTTCGGGAGTCCGCTCGCCCCACTTTTGTTCTAGCCCACTTGCGCTTTCCCACACTTCACGTGCGAATGACTCGCACTCATTAATTGACGTTTTCTGGCTCGGCAACGATGAGAGATACGCATAAGGCGTAGAAAGAGCAGGAACACGTTGACCAAAAAAATCGATTTAGACGTGGTTGGCAAATCCCGATAGAAGCCTCTCACCCTCCCATCGCCCTACCCGCAGTGCAAGAACTACACACCCCACCAAACCTACATCTAGAGACCAGAAGTTCGGCGTCAATCGACGTCAACAAGACCCATCAAGATGGGCAAATCCTCAAAAGACAAACGAGACGCCTACTACCGCCTCGCCAAAGAAGAAGGCTGGCGCGCCCGCTCCGCCTACAAACTACTTCAACTAGACGAAGAATTCAACCTCTTCGAAGGCGTAACGCGCGTCGTAGACCTCTGCGCCGCACCAGGAAGTTGGAGCCAGGTTCTCTCGCGCGTGTTGATAAAGGGGGAGAAGTTTGGAAGAGCGGGATGGCAGGATAAGCAGAAGAATATGCGGGATCATGTTTTGGGCGGTGGTGTGGAGAAGAAGGAGGTGAAGGAGAAGGAAGAGGGAAAGCAAGAGCAGGGTGTAGAGGGAGAAGGGGAAAAGAAGGTAGAAGAGACACCAAAACCCACACCGCGGGAAGGCGTCCGCATCGTAGCCATCGACCTACAACCCATGTCCCCCCTCGAAGGCGTAACAACCATGCGCGCAGACATAACCCACCCCTCCACCATCCCCCTCATGCTCAAAGCCCTCGACCCAGACACCTACGACCCCACCCTCCCAACCTCCACGCGTTCCTCCCCAGTCGACCTCGTAATCTCCGACGGCGCCCCCGACGTAACCGGCCTCCACGACCTCGACATCTACGTACAATCGCAACTCCTCTGGGCAGCCCTCAACCTCGCCCTATGCGTGCTCAAACCAGGCGGCAAATTCGTAGCCAAGATCTTCAGAGGCAAAGACGTAGATCTGCTGTTTGCACAGCTCAAGATTGTGTTTGAGCGTGTGAGAGTGGCGAAGCCGAGGAGTAGTCGGGCGAGTAGTATAGAGGCGTTTGTGGTTTGTGAGGGGTTTTGTCCACCGGAGGGGTTTATGCCGAGTTTGGAGAGGCCGTTGGGGGCGGGGACGGTGTTGCCCGAGCCTGTGAGGGAGGAGCCAACGTCTGCAGATGCGAAGAAACCGGAAAAGAAGGTTACGAGCCGGGTCAGGGAGGATGGTGCGATTGAGATTGATTTGGGCGATGAGACGGACGATGAGGATGACGTTGAGGAGGGTGGGCGGCGGTGGATAGCTCCATTTTTGGCTTGTGGCGATCTGTCGGCGTATGATTCGGATGCGACGTATCATTTGCCAAAGGATAGGGTCAGTCTGGATCCTGTACAGCCGCCTACTGCGCCGCCGTATAAGAGGGCGCTGGAGATGCGGAAGTTGGCTGGTGGAGCGTATGGGAAGACGAAGGGAAGGGCAGAGAAAGCAGCGTCATAGTATAGACTAGATACCCTTTCGAGATTATCAAACATCAGGCGGATACTTCAGCTCATGGCCCAGTATAACAAAAGAAGACTTGTTCTACGAAGACAAGATCAAGCAGTAGTCACACGAACGAAAATGTCTGAACTTGAAGCTTTATTTCTGTATACAACAGCTAAGCATATCCCCTTTTAGGCAGTCCAAGATGAGTAGTAGATGCTTCTCCCATATTGAATGAACATCGCTCCCACAAGATCACCTTAACCCCGAAATATGCCCAAAGCTTTTGATAGTAAATGACATCGCATCCCCAACATGATCATAAAAATGCCTAAGCACGCTCCCTACGACCACCGTTGCCACCCTTGGAAACAATGTCGAGAATCATCTGGCGGGCCTCCTCGCAGCCATCCTTGGTACCGACAATCTCGATAGCCTCATCCTTGGCTTGGTCGCGGGGGACCTGAATCTTTGTGCCGGTCTTCTTGCGCAGATCGTTGATTGTGGCACCACCGGGTCCGACAACGAGCCTGTGAGGTGTTAGTATGACTGCAGCATTGAAAGTGTTGAACGCTTGAGCTTACCTGTAGCTTCTTGGGTCGGGCAGGATCAGGTACCCAGTGGCGGAAGGCTTGGAAGCAGCCTCGATAGCCTGCTCAAGCCTTTGACGGGCCTTGGGAAGGCTCTCAGTGGGTCCACGCAGGATCCAGGGGATAGTGGCGGAGGTATCAGTGCCCTCTGCCACAGCGTTGTTGTCAACGATCTCCCATGAGTGCTCGTTGGAACCGGCAGTCGCATCGTCGGTGATCAAAGGAAGAGCACCGTTAGCACCCTTCCTAGCGCGTCCAGCCTCAGCTTGGGCAGGCTTCGCGGGCACCTGTTCACCGCCGTGGTCGACGGTAACCTTATGCTGGTTGCGGAGTTGCCTGAAGAACTGACCGTTGTCTGAGATGGCGTGGTGGAGGTGACGGGGGACCTGGATAGTTTCGCCCTCTTGGCCCTTGACGAGCTCAAGGATATGCTCCTTGGCCTTCTCAACGGCAGCAGGCTCACCGGTGATCTTTACCTGACTACGGGCGGCACCAGTGGTAGTCTGCTTAGGAATGTCGAGCTGGATGCTGAGCTGCGACTCGAGTTGGCGGCGTGTCTCACCTCCACGGCCGATAAGCAGACGGTGCTTGTCAGGCGAGACTTCGATGGTCTCGGTGGTCTGGTTCTCCAGCGAGGAGGCCTGTGTCTTCAAAGCAGCAACGATTTTCTCGACCACACTCTTGGGACCCTCAACACGGATAGTCGTCTCATCAGACTCGGGGCGGGGGAAGCGCACCATACGAGCCAAGTCGCGCGAGTTGTCAGGTCCGCCAGCCGAGGTGACAATGGAGCGGATGTTGGCACCGCTGCCACCAATGAGGCTCCTGTGGTGCTTCCTGTCAATATCCAGAGTCTCGACGATGGTATCATCAAACTCGCGGGCACGCTGCTGCAAGATCTTCTTGGCCTCCTCAACAGCCTTCTTAGTACCCTTGAGCTTGATCTCCGCGCGGCCGGATGGATCAGCGGCATCACGCGCGCCGGGGACGTCAATCTGGCAACCAGTCTCGAGGCGGAGGTTCTCCATCTCGCGACCGCCTGATCCAATCAGGCGAGGAATGTTGCTCTGAGCGACCGAGACAGTGTCGTTGAAGGAGTTGTCCTTGATGTACTGGAGCAGACTAAGCACCTCGTCGCGGGCCTCATCGGCACCCTTCCTGGGTCCACGGATGATGACTTCATCCTGGTTCTGACCCGAACGAACGTTCTTCTGTGACGACGCATCTGCTGCCTCCTCGTCGTTCTGTGCTCGGCGGGGGAAATTGATGCGTACACCGTAGCGGTCCTGCAGACGCTCTACCTGCTTGCCACCAGCACCGATCAGGTCGCGGTGGAACTGAGGCGCAACCTTCAAGGTGTGTGTAGCCTCGTCTTCGAGCTTCTTGGCCATGTCAAGAATGTCCTTCTTGCATTGCTGTGCCTTGGCGGAAGGTCCCTTCAGCTCGACCTTACCGTCGTTGATCTGAACATCAACGTCGTACTTCTGGCGCAGACGCTGAATGTTCTCTCCACCCTTGCCAACAAGATGGCTGGCGTACTTCTGGGGGTAGTCGAATGTAGTAACGTGGTTGCGCTCAAGCTCGTCCTTCTCAGCTTGCTCGATGAAAGCGAGAATCTTCTTGTTGAGCTCATCAACGGCGCTCGACGGTCCACGGATCGCGAAGCTGTTGTTTGAGCGGCTGTGAGGCTCCGGTCGTCGCTGACCAAACAGCGCCTGAACGGGAACCTGGTCGGGTGTAAGACCTTCTTGCTGCTCATTGACGAACTGCTCGATCTTGCGATGGAACTTGGGGTTGGAATCAAGGCCACGAGTGTCGATTTGTGGTTGGTTTTTAGTCAGACCCATGATGAATCGCTGGGCGTCTTGCAGACCTTGCTGGTATGCCTTGACCTCAGCTGGGGAGGGTCGGCCACGAGGAATGGCGTACTCGTTGTAAGGAGCGTCACCCTCGTAGACGAGAATCAGCTCTGGCGATTGCTCGGTCTCGTCAGGGAAGACAATGTGAACGCCATGGTCCTGTCGGACCTTTGGTGCGTTCTGCTGGCGCAAGAACTGGTGGTAGAAAGGATCGACGTTCATGGTCGCGAAACGACTAGGTGGGTGCGACTGGAAGACGCTCATGATGTCGCCACGAGCCTTCATGCTGTTCTTTCCGTCGCGAGCGTAGATTTCCCATCCGGTTGGGGCATCACGGTCTGTGGGTACGACGATGCTGGCCTCGTGCATGCGCTCAAGGTCAGCAAGGGCCTTGCGTTGACGCAGGTAGCGAGTCAGGTTGTGTGCATGCGCCTGTGCGTTGGGACCCTTGTGCTCACGAGCAGCATCCGCAGTAGCCATGGTCATGCTAGCAGCAAGATCCTCAAGCTTGTTGATACCCTGCTCGATCTTGTTGGGCGGGCCGACAATGTAGACTGTCTCGCTGTCGTCGGAGCTCGGGGGCATGACAATGCTGCAGCCAGTCTCCTCCAAGAAGTCATGGAGAGAGTGGCCCCGGTCACCAACGATGAACTGATGCCTGCCGCGTTCGATGGATCGCTGCTCGATGGCCAACTGCTGGCGGAGTTGCTGAGCGCGGCGCTCGAGCTCAGCTTGGATCTGCTGTGCAGCGACGCGGTCACCAGAGACCTGGATGGGGAAGTTGGCCTGGGGAGCGAACTGGATGGGCTGGCCGCGAGTAGCCTGGGGAGGTGCCTGGGACTGCCAGGTGTGGTACTGCGGGATCTGGATGTTGACGTCGCGGCCCTGGACAAGCCTGTCGGCGTGGACGTTGTTGGGGCCAGCGAGGAAAGGATAGAACTCGGCAGGGATGTCCTTCAAACGCAAGTTGACGGTCGAGGTGCGTTCGTTGACAATGGCATCAATCTCGCGACGAGCCATCTCAGCAGTCAAGGCATTGCCCTCGATGTGAACGTTAACCACGGTATCTTCATCCTCGCCCGGCTCGGCCTTGGGAACCTGGATGCGGGCACCGGTGCGCTTGCTGATTTCCTGGATCTTGGAACCTTGACGGCCGATAATGTGGGCACGAACGGAGGCAGGGACGGGGACATCGACGGATTGCTGGCAGAAGTTAGTTTGGCCAGAGTAGAATAGATGGGTGACATACCTTGGAGCCGACCTCGTTGGCGACTTCCTTGAGAGCCTGCCTGACCGCTTCAACCGGACCGGTGGCCTCGAAGATGAGAGCTCCCTGGCCCTGCTTGTAGTCGAGCTTGGCCTTGGAGCGCCTGTTGATGTCGCGGACGATCTCGTTGATGGGCTTCTTCAGCTCACCGCGGGGGGCGACCTGGTGGGCAGCGAGGGAGATGCGCTCGGTGTGTTTGCCGGGGATGTTCATGGACGGAAGGGCGGGGCCACGGCTGGGGGCAGACGGGGCAGGCGCGCTGCCATTGACGCCGTTGGAGGTGACCGAGGCAGGCTTCTTGCCCCAGGTGGGCGCGACAGGAGCCTGAGTGCGCTTGGCGGGACCGAGAGCCGGGAAGGCCTCCTCAGACGACGTGTTGAGGGCAGGCTTCTTGGAGGCAGGTTGCTTGCCAGCTGCCTTCTCGCTGAGCTCAGCAGAAGGGTGGGCAAGCTCATCCTCGTCGGGGACGTCCTCGACAGTGACATGGTGATCTTCGACGCCATGATTCTGCATGAGCCTCTGCGCCGGGGTCAGACCGTCGTCAGAGGTAGCAACTTGCTCAGATGCCATGATTGAGTATAAACCGTTTCGAGTTGACCAAAGGGTGTTCGCGTGGACGGTGGGTGGGCAGCTTAGCAGCGTGGAGCCAGCTTGACGTTGACGTGGAGATTGAGATTTCGGTGGGCGGTGTACTTCTTGTTCTGGGGGTGGAGAGTTAGTGGGTGGTTGAGAAATAAGAGCCGAAGTGTAGAAGCCTTCGCTTTCTCGCTGCAACGCTTTACCGGTAGTGCGGGTACCAAGTAATGCAACCGTGGGATGGGCCTGTTGTCACTCGGAGCTTACCAGGAAATAGCTTACAGGGTCTTGATGCCGTTACTCAACAGGCCATAACGTGACTGGACGGGCGGTGCGGGTTCAATTGGTGTGGAGACGACTGCTACGGTTGCAGGTGTCGTAGGCGATAGTGCAATGGGAGAGAGAGCACAGGTGGCCAGAAAGCTACTCGAAGGTACTCGAACTTCCCTTTGGTCGGTGTTGGACCCCTGCGAAGCCGCCCCACCCGACTAATTCCAATGGATCCATCCCGTTGAGCCTAGCCCTGGAGAGCCGCTAGCCTCCACACCTGGGCACGCCTCGACAATTGCAATCCACTCCTCGCATTCGCTCATCTGTATTGCAACTGACTGGATACTATACGCCTGCGATATGATTTTTGGTAAAAGGATATCCCAGCGCGCACTGGATGCTATCGGAATAGATATTCACGGCCTCGGTATGGTCGCCAATATCCTCTTCTCAACCACGCATGTACAAACCATTGGCTTCTGAATATAAGTCGATGATTCTGTAAATCCTTTGAGCACTATCAAAGCAACAGGAACAAACGGCCGATGGACTATATCCACCGGAAGCTACCACGTGACTCTGGTAAGCTTCGCATCTCAAAAGAGCATAACCAAGAAGAAGAATTTCCATACCGCCGCCCATATAACCAGTCATGTCAAAGTAATAACAAGAACACCCTCTCCCTCAAATTCACCCCTCTCAAATCCCCTTCTGCCCCTTCCTCGCCCGACTCTCCCAAGTAATAAACCCATCCGGTTGATTCTCCTTGGGCAAATGCTGCGTCCACTTGCCACCCAAAAACCCCACACTATCATCCTGACTCGTCCTCGCCTTCCAATAACACCAACTCCTGCCCACGCCACCCCCCTCCCCCTTCGTCAGCGCCATAAACCCGTCCAGACACTCCTGCGTAAGCGGTATCCAGCTCCATAAATGGTGTGCGAATTCGTTGTCGATGTTCACTTTGAAGATCCAGTCGATGGGTTTGTTGTCGTGGCCGGTGATGGTGTAGGTGAAGACGGTGGCGCTGTCGGAGAAGATGGGGTTACTGCCGTGGATGGAACAGAATTGGCGCATTGCTTTTTCCCATTCGGGGACGTTGGGGTAGTGTTGTTGGGCGGTGTTGCATTGGTCGCCGCGGCGGACGAGGGTGGTTGTGTTGGTGGAGTGTGGAGGGGTGGGAGGGGTGGATGGTGAAGATAGGACTGTTGCTGCGAAGGCGGCGAGGAGGAATGCCATGGGTAGATGCATGGTGTGGGCTAATCTGACTCTACCCTCCGAGTGGGCGCGGGTGTGGACGCGGACGTGGGCAAGCAAAGGTGCATAACGTGAAAGACGTGAAGTTTGTCTTATTATATCCTTCAACACCCTGCTTGTGTATTCCAGCCAACCAATGGACAAAAAGTTCTAAGGAGGCGTTGCAAGGACAAAGAGACGACTCGGATGTCCTTCCGATTATCATAAAGGAATGATGCCGATGCCATGTCACATGGAAAGCCCTATGCCTGTATCCGGCATGATCGAGAGACAGTTTCACGATGCGGCGTCGCAAAGATAAAGAAACGACCCACTCGTCCATTCAACTGAACAAAGAGATGATCGTCGTGGTGCATCATGCGTCGACGAAGTGAACACTGCCATGACATCAAAATATTCAAGGCAGGCTATATCAATAGGATCCCTGCATGACTGTGTATTCACTCCATCGAGGTGTTGCAGCACCCGTCCGGCATTCAAACAAGATCGCGGTCTCCATCCGTCGTCGCAGCAGCGGCAACAAGGGAGCCAGTTTAACTCTTCGCAGCGAGAGTGGAACTTATACAAGATTGCAAATCCCTCACGTGTGCGACTACCCCAACTGCGGCAAGCAGTTCATTCAGCGCTCCGCCCTCACGGCTCACCAACGTGTCCACACTGGCGAGAAGCTTCACATGTGCGAGCGATGTGGAAAGGTACGAAAATTCTGGGATTTTTTCCTAATAATTCTCCAGCATTCTTTCACCATTCTTCTGTCATTCTTCCGCCATCCTTCCACTGCATTCTTAAGCAATCGTATTACTTACGACATTTTCTCATTTCGGATACCACTGGTCGTTCCAACGAAGTCATGGATCCCAACCGCCGAATATGCGTACTTCCTTTAAGTCGTTATGATAGTTTTTTCGCTTTTGTAATCACAGGAGGTATTACATACATTGTTCTCGTTGCTATTCATGGCTGTGTTGTGAGGGAACGTTGGCGAAAGAGGACATCCATGGGTACCGGCTCTGCGCATGTGACACAAACTGCGAACGGTTTGCCGCTTTGCAATGAAAACCAGCGGCGACACGATTCCATTAGCATGTAATACCACTCGAATGTCCACGATGTACAGATCAATCATGTAAAGGTCCATTTCTTCATCAACTCATACAGTACAAAACAAGGAAACACAATACTAAACAATCCAATCCCTCATAGAAACGTCCTCCACAACAACAAATGCCTCGCCTATCCCAGCCCCATCGCTAGGCTAACCGGATCCCCCCACAGGAGCCAGCCCTTGCGGGCGGCTACAACTGTGAGGTTCACCTTAAGCCCAAGGGAAAGGGGAGAGGGCGGATGCGGCCACAAGAAAACCAAAAAACCAACAAAGCAACAACAGAAACAATCTCGAAAGCCAACAAAACCAAACACCTGTCCATATGCCGGGGTATCATAAGCGACCGAACTCCGAAGTACTCCAACCCTCACCGAACGCGTGGGAAAATCAAATAGTGGGAATGGCTTCCAAGACCGTCATGGCGCGTTGGCCCTCAGCCTCGAATGCCATGATTTGCCTTTCGCAGGCCATGCGCAACTTCTCCTCGCCCCGCTTAGCGTTGTAAAGGACCCATTGCTCGATGGTCATGGACTTTTCGAGGTCTGTAAGGTTGGCCATGACAGCGTCGAAGATTTGCTCGGGTGTCGAGCCCGCAGCCTCGATGTTGTCAAGACCGGCGTCGATGAGAATGTCTTGCATCAAGCCCTGAGCCTCTCCCTGGGACGCGAAGAGCATGTCCACATTGGCGGGCTCCCAACCGTTATTGTCATCTGCCTCGCTCATAGGAGGTGGGGTCCTCTTAGGTGTTCCCACCATCAGGTCGCCTGGCAGGCTGGACATGTCGAAGTCTGATGCGACGTGGTCTTGGGTATGAGTCGGAGTCTTCTTAGGGGTTCCGCCCGGCAAGTCGCTGGGGAAGCTTTCAATGCTTGATGATCGAACGCGCTTGGGTGCTGGTTGTGCGACACCTGACATCTCTGTGATGTCCATGGCATCGCTCATGCGCTTCTTGCCGCGCTTGGGTGCGGGTACAGCCTCTGAGACTTCGGTCATGTCCATAGTGTCGCTCATGCGCTTCTTGCCGCGCTTTGGAGCGGGTTGTACGACCTCTGAGACTTGGGTAATGTCCATTGTGTCGCTTGTGCGTTTCTTGCCACGTTTAGGTGCTGGTTGTGGCATCTCCGACAGCTCGCTGTCCTCCATGGTAGTGTCATCGATATGCTTCTTGCCGCGTGTGGCCTTCTTGCTCGCGGTGGATGCAGTAGACGAGCGTGCTGAGCGGCCTTTGGCTTTTGAAGCGCGCTTGCCCTTCTTTGGCGCAGGGATGGGCGGGTTGTATATGTCCGACAATGTGAAGAAGAGACAGTCGGGAGAGCGTTTACGATGCTCTTGCATTGGGTCGTCGCCAATGTCCCAGGCATCGAGTGCGCGAGCACAGTATGCACAGGTGACACCATCGGGAGTTTCGTCTGTGGGGTCGTAGAACCATCCCGCGGCGACCATCTGGTCGACTGAGGGGTAGCCAGCGTTGGGGTCGAGAGGCCACATGTCGCCGAACGTGTCGCGACGCGCCGCGACCATCGCGTCGGAGGTCGGGTCTTCTTCAGTTCTGCCTGGATCGCCAGAACGCAGGCGAATGCACGCGATGACTGCGAAGCCGCAGCTCGGCGAATGTGTCGCGTGTTCATATGCTGGGACGTCTGATTCCTCCCAGCCATCGAGCTGGCACTCGCAGGAGAAGCATTGCACGTTGTCAGGGCTGGCGGTAGTCGGCCTCCATACGAAACCCGCATACGCGAGATCTTGTGCCGCTGGTGAAGCCAATGGCCAGCCGGCTTTGGACTTTGTGCCTGCCTTTTTCGATCTGCTGCTCGTGCGTCGCGTCTTTGTGGTCGTCGCTGCTCCGCCAAAGGTCGCGAGACGCGCCTGGAATGAAGCCAGCGCGGCGTCCATGGTGTTGGCTGTTGTGGGGGTGACCGAATTTCTTTTTGGGCGTTCTTCTGTGGTTTCTGTTCAATTGAGAAGAGTAGCGCCTAAGTTACACGCAGTATTGAGAGTTGCTGGTGTGGAGTGTGGTGGGATGGGTGGGATGAGAGGAAGTCGCGTCTTTACGCGGCAGGCGGGACCAGACAACATCAAATCCACCAAGCTGGTTACGGAAGCAACCGCTTACGTCATCCACCCTCTCACTTTGCGAAACCTCAGGCATCGACTTCTGTACAAGATGTATCGACGCCAACCAGCATTCCGGATAGCGTGGTGCAGGAGGCCTCTGGTTAATGTCAATCGCCGCTTCATCTCCTCCGAAAAGACTGTACCCGCCGACAAGCCACATGCATTCCAATCGCTGCCCCCAGACTGGGAAGATGAGCCTCCCTCGCTGGACGACTTCACGCAGCTGCCACGCGACTTCGGGAAGAAC